CTACATAATCTTGAAGAACGTGCCTATGTCGGAGCCTCCCGGGAACGTCGGCTGGCTGGTGGCCATCTCAGCGAAGATGCACCCGGGAGACCAAAGGTCCACCTCAGGGCCGTACAGGGGACGTCCCAGCAGCAGCTCTGGGCCACGGTACCACAGGGTTATGACGTCTTGGGTGTACTTCTGGATGGGGAACAGCAAGGTGCGCACGAAGCCAAAATCGCCGATCTCGAGGCCGTCCACGGGGCGGATGAGGACGTTCTGCGGCTTGAGATCGCGGTGAGTGACGAGGTGCACGTGGCAAGCATGGATCCGACTGAGAAGGTCGACAAAATAATGGAGGACCCTCACCATGGGCAGCTTGATGCCCGCCAGCTGGTGGCCCGTCACGACTCGGTTGAGGCCGCCTGGCGCGTACTCGAAGACCAGCTGGTACTCCCCGACCTGCGCGACCTGGAAAGCCCTTGAGCTGCACGACGCTGGGACGGACCAGACCCGCAACGCAGAAACTTCCCGAAGCACGGGCGCCAGCACGCCGTCGCTCTGAACCCCGTCGAGCCTGACCCGCTTGAGCGCCCCGCCCAGGCAGACGGCACCGAAGCTGCCGACAACGCCCAGCTCCTCCGCTCGAGGGCCGCAGAGCGCCCGCCCAGCCTGGCTCGGGGTCGGCCTCCGAGCCCAACACGCTCGCGCCGCTCACGCCTGCACCTGTGCGCCCGAGGACAAAGAGTCCGGCCCGCCCGCGGGCCCCCAGGCTCCACGGCGCCGCGGGTGACTGCCAGACAAGCCTGGAAAAGGGCTTGAGAGGCAAGATGGCTTGAGCCAAAATGGCTACGGAGGCGGTCTTGGGGGCCTCTTGGGCCGTCCTCAAAGCTGTGAAAGCCGAAAAGCCGTGTATGCTAAAAATCCACGCTTTCCTTAGGAAAAACTATGATTTGGGCCTCTTGGGGCCCTCTTGGGACGACTCTTGGGCGCATCTTGGGGCGTCTTGGAGGCCTCTTGGGACGTCTTGGGGCTGTCTTGGGCGGTCTTGGGCTCTTCCGGGACGGAAAAGGGGAGAACCCGAAAAACATAGAAAAACCCTAGGGAAAACCCGAAAACGGCCATTGGACTTTTGCGCCCGGCCCTCGCCCCTCCCCTGGACCCCTCCCTTAAGGACTTCGCCACACACTAGAATGTCATCACTCGTACCTCGCTCTTTCCGATAGTTCTCCCGACTAAAAGAATTGCGCGACGCAGCGCGTTTTAGTCATCCGCCGCCCCCTGTCGATTCATCGCAGGGTTGCCTGACGTGCTGAATCCTCTCGGTTTTGGTTTTGGTTCTTTTTCCAAAAGAACTCCCCCTGGGGCTTCGGCCCGTCCCGCCAGCCACCTGGAAAGAAGCTCAGTTGCGGAAAAATCCTCCAAGACGGATCAAGATGGCCTCCATGATGGCCACGTTGGCCCAAGACGGCCTCCAAGATTGTCCAAGATGGCCTCCAAGACGGCCCAGGAGAGGAGGAGATGCCTCAGAGTCCGCCTAAGAAACCTCCAAGACGGCCCAAGACGGCCCAAGACGGCCCAAGAGGCCTCCAAGACGGCCCAAGAGGCCTCCGAGAGGTCCTCCAGGAGGGCCTGAGAGGCTAAAATCATTGATTTTCCTTAGGTGGTTTCAAAAGCTTTGTGTGTTTGCTCCTTTTCGGCTTTCCGACGACCCAAGACGGCCCAAGAGCCAACAAAGATCGCCCCCACAGCGCCCAAGAGGCCTCCAAGATGGCCTCAGGACTGCCCAAGAGACCCCCAAGACGGCCCCAAGAGGCCCCCAAGACGACCCAGGAGGCTTTTAAGACGCCCAAGATGGCCTCCAAGACGGCCCTGGAGCATTCCAAGAGGGCCCCAAGTCGGCCCAGAGAGGCCCCCCAAACGGCTTCCGACGGCGTCGGATGGGCCAGGAGCCCACCAAAACGGCCGAAGATGACCCTAAGATGGCCCAAAATGGCCCAAGAGGCCTCCAAGAGGGCCTCCAATACGGCCCGACAAAGCCAAAATCATTGATTTCCCATGAGCTGTTGAAGGATTGTGGCATTTGCTTTTTTTCGGCCTTCCGACTGCCCGAGACGGCCCAAGTGCCTCCAAAGGTCGCCCAAGAGGCCCAAGAGGCCCAAGACGGCCCCAAAAGGCACCCAAGCCAAGACGGCACAAGAGGCCTCCAAGGCGCTCAGGATGGCCTCCAAGACGGCCCAAGAGCCCTCCAAGACGTCCTCCAAGAAGGCCCGAAAGGGTCAAAATGGCCTCCAGACGGCCAAGATGCCCATCAAGATGCCCACGTGTTCCCCGAAGGCTTTCCAAACCGATTCGGGGAACACATGGTCCGATAGCTTGGCAGGTCTGGCCTCAACGTTCGGCCACATAGGCGCTTCCAAAAAGGCAGGGCGCGGCGATGATTCACCGTAAGCGTCTCCGATAGAAGCTCTTCAAGAACGCATGAAGATCCATATGCTTATCAACAGAAATGTTGCCAGGGTTATTGGCTTTATTTCCGCGCGCGCACTTCCTCACTATCATCCTCATCAGCGCCGCCGCATCACGTCATCGTTATCGACAATCACCGCAAATTCCGCCATCATCACTCAAGCAACGTGATCATCGACACCTGGACATCATCGTCGTCATCGGCGTTACCAGCAACGGCGCCATCATTGGCCTTACCGTCGTCTTTGCCATCATTGCAATCACCATCGCTACTATCATCATCGTTGCAGCTGTTGTCGACGCCATCATGATACCGCGCCCGCCTGAGCCACCGATCCGAGTTGAAGTGCACGCGCGCCAGCGCGGCCTTTGATGAGCGCTGGAACGTTGCCGCTGGTAAGCGCCATCGCGCCGCACCGGTTCTGTCAAACCAGCTAGCCGCTTTGCGCGCGAGCTTGCGCGACATTGCGGTCGCAGAGATGCGCCAGCCATGGCGAAGCAGTCATCGCAATCGCCGCCACATGGATTTTGCAAACCAAGTTGCGGGTGGGAGGGTAAGATGATTACGCGAGCAGTAGAATTGAAAATTCATGAGTTGGGAACAATTAATTCCACCACGTAAGTTGCACTACCGATTGCATTGCACCCAGGTTGCAACACGATTACACCACCATGCAATTGCAGCACTACTTCACGGCACACAATTTGCACCCCATCGACTGCACCAAACAGGCTGCACCAAATAGCGTACACCACACAGCTTGCACGACAGTGCTTGCGCCACATAGCTTGTGCCGCACTCTAGATTGTACCCCGCAAGTTGCACCAGACAGATTTGCACCACATAGACTAGTTTGTGTGGCAAGGGATTCCCAGGAGGAGCCTCGAGTGATTCGAACATGTGGCGGCTATTTTGTTGCACGTCCTATGCGGCGGCCTGCGGCTGTAACCGCCTGGCCTGCCGCAAGGATATGGGTCGAGCCAGCTCGTCTGGCTAGCCTGACTCTTTCGTTGGTGCGATGTCCCCTGAGCTCGTCCCTGGTGGTCTTCGGGTCATGCCTCGGGCCTCCGGCGGCCGCTCGGGACGATCTGGGCACCCCGGGAAGGCTCTCGGCGAGGCGCAGCCGTTGGAATAGAAGAAAGAGAAACGTTCTGAACATAAACTTTTGGCGCTGCGCGCAGATTTCTTGGATCCGCGCCGGAACCCCCGTCCTGGCGCGCGGAGCGCGCCGGGGGCGCCTCCGCCCCGGGGGGGCCATGCGCCCCGATCCAAGACATCCGCGCGGAGCGCCAAAAAGTTCATGTTTATGGCAATGTGTCGTATTCGATGGAAGGTTTCCAGAGGCTGGAGAGACACCGAGATCCGACGAAGACGCCCGAAAACGTCGAACCTCGAGTCTCGAAAACGACCCGCTCCGAGCCTGCGCCGCCGCACGCGGCGGGCAGGCGCCCGCCCGCGGCGGCGGCGGCGCCGCCGCCGCCGCGGCGCGGCCCGGCGGGCCCCAGGCGCAGGCGGTTGCCGCCAGGCACCCAGCGCACCGCGAGCTCGGGGAGGAGCGGCTTCTCCTCCTCCTCCTCCTCCTCCTCTCTCCTCCTCCTCCTCCTCCTCCTCCTCCTCCTCCTCCTGCTCCTCCTGCTCCTACTCCTCAGGTTTTCTACGCTAGCCCTCCTCCTCCTCCTCCTCCTCCTCCTCCCCCTGGGGGCCACCCCAAGAGAGGACCGTCGGAGGACTGGGCAGATCTCTTTGGGTCGGCGCTGAAAAACCCTCCCTTGCGCACGAAGCGCCCAGGAGCCGACCCAAAAAAAATAGGAGCGGCGCGCGCTCGCCCTTTTGCCTTCGCCCCCCGCTCGTTCACTGTGCGGCTCGGCCTCGTCGCAGGGAGCGAGGCTGCTGCCTGCCGCACCTCTCTCGGTAGGGCGACGAGATCTATGCATATCCACTGCTCCTGGCCAGGCCCATCCTGGGCCCAGGAGCGGTGTATATGCCTCCCTGGCCAAGCCAGGAGGGCGTATACACAGCTCTTGGGCCCAGGATTGGCCTGGCCGGGAGCAGTGGATATGTATAGATATCGTTGCCCTATCTCGGGACGTGTGCTCTGGCGCCCAACGCGTGCCGGTCCGCCGAGGCCCTTCCATGAGACGCAGGCAGTGCACCAAGGGCCGACACCAGCTGGTGAGCGTTTTTTGGTTCGGTGTCTCGACAGTGGGGTGGAGGTCGAACAAGAAAAAATGCCGTAGACGTAAACTGTTGGCGCTCCGCGTGGATTTCTTGGATCTGCGCTGGGGCCCCCCTAGCGGCGCCTTCGGCGCCGCCCCTGGTCCAGCGCAGGTCCAAGAAATCCGCGCGGAGCGCCGAATGTTTATGCTTATAGCATGTTGTTCTTCTTCTAGGAAGGGGGGTGTAGCGGTGGGGGTCTGGCTCTGGACCTCTGCTTAATGCGACTGCTTGGAACAGTGCGTCCATTATGGGGGAGGCTCCAGGGGGGTGGAACAGGGGGGGTTGGGGGCCCGCGCCGATCGGCAAAACAATGAATAAAAAACGATCACCTGCGTGCTATCGTCGAAGCCGAACGGGGCAAACACACACTGGGCTAACACACCTTCTGAGGATCACCGACTCCTCCGTTCCACATCTCGGCGAGGGTGCGGCCTGCCACGCATCCCGCTCTGCTGAAGCGCTGCCTCCACCGCTTTGAGCGGCTAGCTTCTGGTTCCGGCGAGGATGCCGGACCTCGGCTGTACCTCTGTCCATTTCGTTGGGGTCGAGGCCTCATCTCCTCCTCCTCCAGCCCCCGGATGATGACAGGTCGGGCTCAGCGAGTGGTGCTGTTAATGACAGGACACTGGCGGCAGTCCCAGCACGATGCGTGATGTCGACGTGCGCGAGAAAGCATCGCACGGAG